CACTCATACCGGATGAGGTATGGGGACAGTTCGTTTCACCCACATACTGGACGAAGTATCGGGGTTTAATAATTTGGCACTCATACCGGACGGGGTATGAGGACGGCTCGTAATTGAGAATGTTAAAGGAAATGGTTCATGCGTAGTGGGAACATCCTTATGAATCTTTATGGATACCAGCAGGCTGATGAAAAGTGACAGTTGTTGTTTCGGTTATTTGAATATAAAAGTATGATATGTGATATGTTGCTGATTACATATGAAATCATGATATGTATAATGTTATTGTTTCTATAGGTTGTTTTTGTAAATCTCGCTACGGTAAGTGGACGGTAAATAGTTTTATTATTAATAAATGCATTTTTTTAATTAAGTGCTCCATTAGTTGTTTTAATTTTCTACCAACCTTCATTTCTGTGTCGGTAAGTTGGCGTGATATTCTTACTAGGTTAGTGTAGCTCATTCCTTATTTAACAATTTCAGATCAAGAGAACCAGGATTCAGAACCCGATCCACAAGAAGGTTGCGAGTAGGATGCTAGTTTTATTTATTTTTCTCCTATTTTCTTATTTTTTTGTATTTCTTTTAAAAAAGTAATTCTCGTAGCACTATTCGGTACTTTAAGTTATTGTGTAAAGAATGTAAACCTTAACCATTTATTTTGCTTCCGCACTTAAGTTATAATTATTTCTTTGGATATTCCGGGGCCGTTACACCCTTTGCAATTAGTTAAGTCTTCTACTTTGAAATTATGACATCTTATCTATATTTTGTCTTGTAGACCCATTTTAACTCAATTGTTTTTTCTATCTTTAGGTAGATCTACGAGTTCCCGAGTGTTATTCTTTACAGTAATTGTTTTTCTTCATCTATTGTTTTAGATTAAGTTTCTTCTTTAACTTCTTCAAAATTTTGAGATATGAAAAATACAACATCATAAGTTCTGTAAATTTCTATTACGAAACCAACCTTTTGTAGTGGTGTTTCGAAGCTTGAATTGATCTCTTATGATGGTATGGAGCTTGAAACTTAGATTGATTAGAGTTAGGGCTAGCAAATTGATAATAGATTGTTGTTGTGGATAATTTTCTTCTTTGTTATAAGATGTCAACCCCTCAAAGATAACATGTCGAGAGAATATGAATTTTTTCATTTTTGACTAGATGATATCCTTTGGATTGTTGCTATAATTGATAAAGATGTACTTCTCTCCAAATTTTTCTCTATAATGTAAAGGAATATGAGAAAGGACAGTGCATCCAAAGAATTTAAGAAAATTTACCTGGAGTTTCTGTCCCTGCCATCCTTTGCAAGTGATCTTGTTTTGAACTACTTTTTATTTGTGATCTATTAAGAATATGGGATTGATCATAATTTCTCGTCAATAAAGCTCCATAAAAAAGAATGGCACTGTAGAAATAAAGATAAATCTCTCGAAGAACTAGTTAGAATAATGTCGTGAGAACATGATTTACTTAAATACTTATGGGTTGAAGCTGTAAAAACAACTTGTCATGTTTTGAATAGAATAATACTTTGATCAACTCTTTGAAAAAACACCTTATGAGTTATGAAAAGAAAGAAAACCCAATATAGAGTACTTTTATGTCTTTAGGTGTAAATATTATATTTTAAACAATAATAAAAATAATATTAGAAAATTTGATGCCAAATTAGATTAGGGAATCTATCTTGGATATTCTACCTTAAGCAAAGCATGTAGAAGGTATAACAAGAAAACTCTTATAATAGAAGAATATATGCATCTTGTATTTGATGAAAATTGTCTATGAAAGCAATATGATGAGGAATGTGAAGTTCGTTAAACGAACATCATAATAAAAAGACCTAGACAAAGTGAATGAGATTAAGTCTCATCCACAATCTGAAACGTTAAATAAAATCTTGAACTAACACATAAAGACTTCTGAAGAAGCTAAATGTATATTTATGGTCATTCAAAAAAAATCACTAGGAATGTTTCACATGGAGTGAAGACTAGAGTATCATATAGAAATGAACATTAATTGATCGCTTTTATTTCAAAAATAGAAGCAATGACATTTTAAGAAGTAAAAAAAAGATGAAAAATATATACTAGCTATATAGGAAGAACTAAATTAGTTTGAGGGAAAAAAAAGCCTAAGAATTATTACCTAAGCCGAAAGATAAAACCATTATAAGTACCAAATGGTTCTTTAGTAATAAAATAGATGAAAATGGAACTATCACTAGAAATAAAGTCATAATGGTTGCAAAAAGTATAATCAAGAGGAATGATTGATTTTGATGAGACCTTTCTATTACTGAAGCGATTAGATACTCTTAAACTTTACATAATTCAAAAGTTCAAATTTTTAATAATGTTAGAGTGCATACTTAAATGATTTAAAAAAGAAGTATATGTTAAGCGACTCCAGAGATTTATAGATCGTTATCATCCTGATCATATAAAAAAGCTCACTAAAAATTTTTAAATTTCTACCACGTAATGGATTTAGTAGAGGTCAAATAGACAAAACATTGTTCACTAAATCCAATGGTGAAGACATTTTAATTGTCTAAATTTATATGGATGACATAATATTCAGAGCCAATAACGATAAGTTATGTCAAGAATTCTTTATTTGTATAAAATTAGAATTTAAAATGAGCATGATTAGAGAATCGAACTACTTCCAAGGTACGTAGATTAAACAACAACGTATCTCTTCCATAAATCCTAATTTATTAAAGATCTCTGCAAGAATATAGATTATATTATGCTAAGTTTAATCCTACTCACATAAGAACATCTACTAAACTCTACAAGGGAATGATAGGATTTCTTTATACTTGATAGCCAAGAGGCTTGATATAATGTTTAATGTATGCATATGTACTAGATTTCAATCCAAACCTAAGGAGTCGTAGTTGCTTACTATTAAATGAATATTTAAATACTTAGTTGACATAAGCATTAAGGTTGTGGCATTCTAAGAAGAGCACACTAGATCTGAATAGCTAGTCAATGGCTAAATTTGAAGGATGTAAGGTAGATAGAAAAGCACAAGCAAAACTTACTAGTTCCTAATAAATATGCTTGTCTTTTAGTTCTTATCTACCACTAGAGTAAAATATATTACACGAGAGTAGTTGTACACAAGTTTAATGGATCAAGAAATAGCTCATAGATTATGAAATAAAGATAAACAAAATTCTTATTATGTGTGATAATATTAGTTCAATTAACTTAAGCAAACATTTCATACAGCATTTAAGGACTAAACATGTTAAAATTAGAAATAATTTCATTATAGATCATGTACAAACTAAACAAAGTTTGAGTGGAACTAAGGAGAATAGAGAACATGTTGAGTCTAAAAAAAATTTAAAGACTAATCAAAGAGTTTTCATGCTCTTGCATGCCACTACCAATCGCTATGAAATAATCCTCCAAAATTTTTTAGTAATATAAGTAGTCTTTAAAGAAAAGCTCTCCTAAGTCAGAATCGTAATACCAATTCTTCATAATTTTCTTTAGCTATTTAAGTATTTGGTATATGTAGACGATTATGTTTGAAAATAAGACATACGACAGACAATCAGAAAACTATTAGACACGATATCTCTTTAATGGTAAATAGTTATAAAGTATTTTTTATAAACTCGACTCTCCTAAACTGGTTCCTAATTGTAACTGGAGTTTGAAAGCTTGATCGCCAAAAATGACTCTTAATTCTACATACTTGCGAAAACTATTTTTGTAATTATTATTTGTACAACCGTCCTATGTTATAATATGTATGTATAACCAATAATAATACCTTTACTTAACTTTTGATATTTTTATTTTGTAAAAGTTTTCAATCTTTATAAAGATAAATATTAAAAATAATTATAACATATGATAAAATAATAGTTTAGGCATTTAAAAATCCATATTGACTAACAATTGTGGGCGTGGAGGTAGGAAAATACCAGCAGGGAATAAGATAATATATGAGAAAATAATATTATTGAACTTTCTTCCTACGTTTACTGAGACAAAATGTGTATTTGAGTCGTCAATTTTGACATTAAAGCATTAAATTATCTCAACTCCATAATTAGTCTTATTTTGTTAATACCATAATTAAGATATAATTAATCAACTAGTTAATATTTTAAGTAACATATTATGAGTTCAATATTTTAAAAAAAGTGAATTTTTTTTTAACAAAATTAAAAATTTTATTACATAGATATATATATATATATATATATATATATAAATGTAGACAGGTGATTATTTGACACTTGAGGTCATATTTTTAATTTCAATTTTATTAGGTTATTTTTTATTTTAAATTCATAACACACATAACCTTAAGGCCTTGTGCTTTACTTCTTTTCTTGGCCCTTAGATTAAGGTAATTATAAATTTAAGCAAATTTTAAAATTTTGGTAGAAATTATATGAAATTTTGTTAATTTTTAATAAAATTTTCAATTAACTTTTCCTTCTTTTATTTGAATTTTTTTAATTAAATTAAGT